CAGAATTTCCATCCAGAAATGCTTGGTCCATAAGCCCAAAGTAATGTTGTGAAAATCAGTGTTAGTGTTGAATTAAATTCTGTATACAGAGCTGAACATTTTGATAAAAATAGTCTTCATTAATTGAAATAATGAGCATGATTTCTCACAACTTTTAAACTTTCCCCTACTTTTACGGGTGTTTGCACACACAATGCATGGAGGAAGTCACTAAAGAGAACCTTGTGAGGCGAGCAACTTGAGGCTAATTGCATTCAAATTAAATAGTTGATGATGATGTCATCATGAACTTTGTCCTTTTTTCTTTCATCGATATACATGTGGTCTTTGTTTCAACACCTCCCACCTTTGAATGGTACTCTTAATTATTTCCTAACAAGCTATGGACTGTACAGTCAAATAAGTACTGAATGACAATCCTTTTATTGAACTTTTATGAGTAATGACTTGTCTGTCTTGATAGACCTATATTATGGATGATAAAATTGAATCATTTGATGGGTATGTAATCATCCAACAAACAACACCACGGGAAAACACGCGATTACCGTCGCACGTTCCGGCGGATGTTTTGTCTTCGGAAAGTACGGCGTTCGTACAGGCGCATTTTGCGACTGAAAAACAACGGCGTTATTTCCGGCGGAACGGTGGTCGGTAGTTTTCCGACGCCCAATACGCCGGGGTTAACGTCGGAAAATACACGCATTTTGCAACTCTTTGAACTGCAATATTAAATGGATGGAATAGTGAACTTTATATGCTATAAGTTTTCTTATATATCTGCTTATTTGATCCCTTACGTGTTAGTATTCTCAGAAGTCATTGACATCCACCAGATCTCTTAGTTAATCCCTTACGTGTTAATATTCTAAAAAATCTTTGACAATCCACAAGGTCTCTTAGACATTAACAGTTTTTTTTAGTAATATTTTGTTAATATCATTAAAATTATTGTATGATCTCATTTATGATAGAGATGGCAAGTCGTAGCTATGAAGAAGCTTGTGAAGGCTTGAGTAACCCTTATAGGAAAATCTTTAGCTGGAGACCTCAAGACAACGTCATTTATGTCAGGAGAATTTATCATGCCAAGTTGAAATTATGCAAGTGGTTGATGGTAAGCTCACTTTTAATTTCCCCCCAAACGTATTAATGTCAATAAATAACAACCTAAATTAGTTATATTATGAGAGAAGAGTAACATAAAATTGGTGGTGTAAAGCCCAGGTTGGAGGTGATGCTTTTTTGAAATGAAATTCAATACAAATGGACATATAAGATAGGCAAGTGATTTGACAAATCTATCAATGTAAGATCCCAATGTGTTAGCTAATCAAATCTATTGATGTTATAAACATCATTTGACAAAGGGGCTGGACGAGTTATTATTTAAAATACATAGATGAGACTATGGTTAGTAGTAGAGATCCTGTAAGTAATTATCTTAGTGATAGTAGATGAAGATTAATGATAAGTTCATTCTTGCAATACATCATTTAGCTGTGTTGCATAATATTCAAATGAAGTGCCATCACGTTTTGTGAAAAAAAAAAAGTAAAGAATAAAGACTTTGTTAAAGTCATGTAAGTTGCATAAGAAACACATTCATGATTCATTTAACTCAGATTCTACAGTAACAGAAGCAAGCTGGAATAGATCATTATCAGTGTCAATCGCAATAGTAGTTAGTAGAGTCGATAGTGTCACTATGTAGAAATAGTCACTATGTAGAAATAGATGGTCCAAAACTCTAGAACAAACTTTGGAAACAATATTGATGAAGTAAAATTGATTCTGTGAACTACATATGGCATTCTAGTTTTGATGGCTTCTATGAAACGGTATAAGGATCTTATGAGTATTCTTAGCTACCAAAAATTACTTACTTTTTACTCCTTGCATCCCATGCCCTGATGTATGTGTTTCAACAATTAAAATTGGCTTCTACTTGACTAATTATCTTCCTTAGTTTCATATCAATTTATAGTTTTATGCTCAAAATAATAAATTGACATTGGTGGTCTCCCCTATATAATTGGATGATTACATTTATGCTAGCATTCAATAATGGAGATACTCTAGACATTTTTAATCGTACTCTTTGTAGCATGCAAATCCCAACCATAAGAGCATGTCACATCGTCATGATGGGCACAAATAATTGTCAACTTAGATTTATTTAAAAGGATTTTTTTATTTTTTTACTTTTTTATTGATTGACCATACGTTTATAGCGGTTTGTAAGTCTAATTTATTTTAAGAAAATATACCAACATATAATTAAGAAAGAATTTTTTTTTTCTGTAAATGTTTAATGATCTAAGCGACTCAAAGTTCACAGTAGCATCTCGCTTTTGAGCATTTGGAAGGGTTGAATGAACTCGTTATTTAGTACCATCTGATTAGACATTTCAACTCTATTGAATGCCTCACACTTAGTATCTCATGGCCCCTTAACTTGACTGGCTTAGTGAGCATATACTTATTTAATCATCTGATTCAAGCACATTAAAATCGACATGTGTGGGTTCAGTGGTTCTTGAAATCTATAGAGTTATTCTTTTATAAGAGGCACTCCCATTAGTGAGCATATACTTATGGTGGATGGTGAATAACAAAGTCCTACATAGGGTCCTGATTGGGTACCCATTGAGTACCCATGCTTTACTCGGATGGGTTTCGCCCACCCACACCCACCCATGGTGACTTTTGGGATGTCGTACCCACCTATACCCACCCACTTTTCATGCTTTTTGAGGCTTGTTGCTCTTTCTCTGATTGCAAACTTTTAAGCCGCATATCAGAATTTATCGTAGTCCCAGTATGGTTAAGTGCACACTACATAGTGAGGATTGCAATAATATAAGATATACGGTGATTAGCAATGTAAATTGATTTATCCCCCGATGTTGAGTACCCACTCATACCCACCCACAAGGTCATCGGCATGCCCATACCCACCCATACCCATACATGGGTGGGTGTGGATATGGAATCCAATGCAGGGCTCTGGTGAACAACCAGGGTAGGTTCAGTTTATAAAAACTTTTTGACCATACGTTTATAGCGGTTTGTAAGTCTAATTTATTTTAAGAAAATATACCAACATATAATTAAGAAAGAATTTTTTTTTTCTGTAAATGTTTAATGATCTAAGCGACTCAAAGTTCACAGTAGCATCTCGCTTTTGAGCATTTGGAAGGGTTGAATGAACTCGTTATTTAGTACCATCTGATTAGACATTTCAACTCTATTGAATGCCTCACACTTAGTATCTCATGGCCCCTTACCTTGACTGGCTTTGGAATTCCTGCATAAGGAGCACCCTGAGAATTGGAGTAATAGATGTTTAATTCAAGCACATTAAAATCGACATGTGTGGGTTCAGTGGTTCTTGAAATCTATAGAGTTTTTCTTTTATAAGAGGCACTCCCATTAGTGAGCATATACTTATGGTGGATGGTGAACAACAAAGCCCTACATGGGGTCCTGATTGGGTACCCATTGAGTATCCATGCTTTACTCGAATGGGCTTCGCCCACCCATGGTGACTTTTGGGATGTCGTACTCACCTATACCCAATGTTTAAAATTGCGTATTCGGGTATTGAGGCGTTTTTTCATTTGTGAGGCGAGGCGTAAGCCTCAAGGCGATTTGAGGCGTAAGCCTCAAAATCAAAAGATTGCGTAAACATTGATAAATTTTTTATATACTAATGAGTGAATAATATAAAACATAAAAAAAGCATAAGATATGAAGTGAAATCAAAATATCCCAATAATAAGACAACATGAAATATAGTTCAACTCAAAATTTTATCTTTCTCAAATCCTAGTATTCTTTTCATTAACCTATAATTTGAATTTTCAAAAATAAATAGCAATAACATATCACATAAGAACTCATAAGTCATTAGCACTGTCATCACTAAGGGGTTCTTCATTTGAATCATCATTATGATGAACTTCTCTCTCCCCTTCCTCCTCTCCTATAGAGTCCAATGTCGGGCATTTACTTCAAGATTTATGTAAGTTTTAATATTTATAGCGTGAGGCGAGGTGGGCCTCAACCAAGTTGAGGCGCAAGCCTCATATAAAAAACTCGATGCGTAAGCATCGAGGCGTTTTTTACTGGAATTGCTCAAAGGCGAGCCTCATATTGCGCAATTTTAAACCATGCCTATACCCACCCACTTTTCATGTTTTTTGAGGCTTGTTGCCCTTAGCTCTGATTGCAAACTTTTAAGCCGCATATCAAAATTTATCATAGCCCTAGTATGGTTGAATGCTGCACACTACGTAGTGAGGATTGCAATAATATAAGATATACGGTGATTAGCAATGTAAATCGATTTATCCCCCGATGTTGAGTACCCACCCACAAGGTCATGGGCGTGCCCATACCCATACATGGGTGGGTGTGAGTATGGGTATCCAATACAGGGCTCTAGTGAACAACCAGTGTAGGTTCAGTTTATAAAAACTTTTACAAATATGGCTTGTTATTCTTTTAATAAAAGCTGAACATGCTCTCGATGGTTTAACTGGTCATTTTTTCATTCTTCTTACATTATTGTTAAGGTGTGGCGAAGTCATTATTGGTTTAGCATGTCATTTAGCTCATTTTTCAGCAATTTTCTATTACTGACAAACTCTAAATTCTTCCAGGTTGGGAAGCAATATCCCTTCAAAGACCAATTCATTGCCTTACAGATGTGCAATCTGCCAAACTGATCAGACGCCTAATGAGGGTTTATCATTCCTGTTGCCAGTTTCTAAAAACTGGGAGGGCCCTTATTTCTGCTCTGATTGCAGGCGAAAAAAGGAAGCAATGGAAGGTAAGAGGTCCATGCGAGCGACTGTGTCAAGATGAACATAAAAAATGAACTCAGTTGCCAAAACTATAGGCATCCCAGAATATTCAAGCTCGAGGAGATGTCCATTGCCATTCATGCATTGATTTTGTAGTGGTTGTTTTATTGTTTATGAACTAACTAAACATATCAGAAAGTGTGATGGTTTGTTGAATCACTAATCAGTGACAAAGCTTATGTATTTTGATTTATTGAACATAACTAGTTTCATAATGATATTTTACATGAAAAACCTGTTGTTCACTAACTTCATAACACAGCACACTTAGAATTTGTTTGGGACAACTTTCTTGTTGCTTCTTAAAGCAGCTTTATAGTATAAAAATTTCAATTTTTTTGTGAGAAAAAAACAGCTTTAAGAAGCAAACAATAAAGCCGGCCCACACTAAGCCTTATTCTGTGCAAAAGTCCTCACGCTCTAAATGGTAAAGTTGAGGTTTTATTCAGAGATGAAGCTTCACTTGGGGCCTGACTCTGGTAAGTTCTAATGGCCGGTGGCCCCTGAGGTGGTGGCGCAGTGAGGCCAAGATGATTCTGGCGGTTCATGATCTCTTCCAGATGCAGTCTTTGCGTTCTCAGAGCAGTCAGATATAGCGCCACTCCAAGGAAGACGGTAATCAAGCCAAAAACTCCGGCCACTGCAAAGAGTCCCGGCCGAATAACTGGACATGTTAGCCTCGGCTGCGTCCAGTTGTACAGATGGCCAGACTCAACACCTATAGCTATCATCAGAAGCACTTCAGCAATGGCGAAGCATACCCTGCAAACCAATTTGTGAGTAATCTATTTATCTAACATCGGAAGAGAAATCAGATCATCCGGTGCCCTAGCTTACCAAATTGTGAGGAAGAGGACGCAGGATTGCCATTTCTGGGCCTTAGCTGCCGGCGACGACGCTGTCGGGTCGCCAGTTGATGGCAATGCAATGGCTACTGATGACAAGGGGCTGGTAATGGCGACAAGCAGGTAAGCGTGCTCGGCGATCATGGCCAGTGCAAAGAGAAGGAATGCGGCCAAGGCGAATGCGAGTGGAGATTTCCCGCTGCCGCTGAAGGAGCACCTGTATCCTTTGCCACTGTCCTGGATGGTCAGGATCATCCATGTTGCCTGCATATTAGATGCAATTTTTTTTTTTAATTTTTAAAATCATTAAAAATTTATTGGCACATAAAAAATTAGGAATATTTAATACCGTTTGATGATTAATTGAATCTATTGATGTTTTCAGAATGAATGATTTTAATTATATGAAAATTTTTTAATAATTTGAAATCAAATTAATGTATTTAATGCTATCTAGCATGCATTGAAAGTCTTTTATGGATGAAATATATGAATAAAATTAGTTTTTTAAAAGAGTTTCTGTATATTATCTGATCAATTTTATAATTTTAAAATTTAATGAACTATTAAATAATCATAAAGTTTATTAAAAATTCATTCACATATAACTTAGGGTGTGAACAACATTCACTAATATAATCTTGATCTTGAATTTAAAGATAGCATAAAATAGTAAATATAAATCAAAAAGGAGGAAATGGAGCATTGTTAGGCTTATTAAGAGGATGTTTGGTTGCCTAAAGTAAAAGAATGTGGTGTCAAAAAAAATGTGTAATTGTTATACTTAGGAGCTGTTTGTATTAGTTAAAAATGAATGTAGCACTTTTTTTTAAGTAAAATAAATGCTATGTATAGAGTGTTGTGACCGGGATAGCCTGCAGCCGGTGGTGAGCGGCAGCCATGGCGGGCAAGGTTGTCTACTGCGGATCCTCTAGCGTTAAAAAATAAACAAAATTTAACAAGTAGTTGAAGCTCTGACTTAGGGCAGATTATTAGGTGCGGACAACAAATGGAGATAATCGTCCGGTTTTCTCTCTATCTATAATAAAAGCATAATCGAAGCGTAAATGCTACAGTAACTATGCTTTAACTAGAAAGAAATTGGACGATTCTCTCTATAAGATGTCCGCACCTAATAATTTCTCCTGACTTAAACGTCCAGAAAAAAATGAATGACAACGAACATTACAAAGCCGAGCTTACATATATTAATAAAGTGACACCAAGCAGGCCTCCGGAGATGAGATTGATTCTCTCTTACCTCGGATCTGGTGGCCTCGCCGGCGAGGCAGAGAATGAAACCAACGAGGCCGCAGAGCACCGACAAGCCTACAAGGAAGGCAGCAAGCTTGCTACTAACGTCAGCCGTGCGGAAGTTCCTGATGGAAAGATCATCATGCGTGATGGCCATCTCTGACGATTTAGATGTGCTAATTCTTAAGCAAATTGAGCTCCGATCGATCGGCATATATAAAGGCATCAGGAGGAAGAGTGGAGACTGAGAAGAAAGGCATCGCTTGTAGGCGGTATCATTTGCGTGATCGTAGGGGGATTCTCTCCTTTTATATTCATTTTTTTACAGCTTTGCATCGTGCAAAGAGGGGTCTTTATGGAGGTAATCCTCGCATTGGGAATGTGGCTTTCGTAGTATTGTAGAGTGGGAAATCTGCGTTGGACGCAGGCATCGGACTTTTTTTTTTTTTTTTCCTCCAGCGTTTTAGTTCGGTTCTCATGAATTTATCGTTCACTCTAAATGAGTGGGCGAGTAACTTTGATGGGCAATTGGCGACTTTAATTGTCGAGTTTGATGAATAATTAGCTCTTCCTCTTTTCGCAACTTCAAAGGTAAAATCGAGTATGTTTAGGCGATTTGGAAAGTTTTAAAGTATTAGCGAATTGGTCAAATGCCTACAATAAATGATACAAAGACTACCCTAAACATCTGTTACCTCTAGATTGGCTGAGGGAAAGCAGGGGGTTGCATGTATAGCTCTACTAATTTATCTCAGGACGAGTTGCGCACAAAGTGAGTTTCGTACTATTGGTGAGCTTGGTAGTGCCTAGTAGAAGTAGGCAAGTCTACGAGCGTGTTCCATACAAGGGGTGCTTGATAATTAAGTGATGTTTGGGAGCCATTGTCGACCTATGCTAAGCCTTGGATCTCCTAGAATAGAAGGAAAATAAACTGAGGTTCTGGTGAAGATGAACTCAGTGGTCGGTTGGTAAAAAAATGGTGAGCTAAGGGACATTTAGGTAGACACTTTCTATAGATGAACTTTGATGTGTGTGGATGAAGGCATCCACCCTATGTGGGGGTGAGTTGTTGGATAGTAGCCTCCCTTCTGCGAGGGGAGTGGCAAGTTATTTTATCAACGAGGTCCTCTATTGCTCCCGAGAGAGGTAACCTACTTTCATATGCTCTGGTGAATGGGTATGATGTTCATTGGGCAATTTCCTCCATGAGGTCTATTGGATGCAAGCCCTCCCCTTATAACTTACTGATTACCTGTTAAATATCTGTTAAGTCATGCGTGAGTATACATTTTATTTTCCAATTAACTTGGCCCTTTGATAAGACAATGTTGTAAAGGATGAG